GTGAATTATAGCGTGTGTTTAAGTTAAGGTGACTATGGAAATTAAGTGTATTGCAAAGTTGTATTGTAAAAAGAATAAACTAGTTTTATTTAAGAAAGGACCTTTATTGCTGAGGTTTCTGGGAAACAATTTCTACGGAAAATTAACAAACAAACAGAGAGGTAACATAGTATTAGGGAAAAGTTGAATTTCATGTTATAATGCAGAGTCAGTGCTGTAAGAAGAATGTGAAAGCGTGATTTTTGTAAATTACTTTGTTATTACGAATAGTGGGCCTGATGATTAAATTTCTCTATGTTTTATTCTTGCCAGAAATTGTTGCAGAAAAAAGAAAAGAAAACAGTTTTGAATATTATAAAGTTTCGATGAAAATTGAGAATTTAATCAGTGTTGGTATGGTTATTTGACTACTGAATCATTACAGTTTTGTGACGACCAGTAACAACGAAATTAAATCAACACAAGCCAATTAATATTTAAAGATGGTTGTCTTTGTGACAAGATTTCCATTATTAGCATTGACTTTTAAGAACAACTCCGATACGTTATAAGTTAAATAATAAAAACTTAAGTTGTTTTACAAAGTGAAAATACGAGAAAATAATATAATATGCATAGGAATTTTTCGATAAGTTGTGTTTTGTAAACGTTTTTAATATTTGCTTTTCTCCAGGGACAATTACTGAAACCCCCCCGTTCAAACCTGACAATCAACGAAGTCTCGAAGCTCCATTTTCTCTGAGAAAATGGATTGATAATAACATAGAAGAAATCAACAGAACTGGGTACAAACAACTCTTTGAAGGAAGATATGAATCGAAGGTATGTTTGGTTTAAGGATCTTGAAAACAATTAAATAAAATTGAAAAAAATAGTTCTTAAATGGGAAAACTTTGAAACAACCTTGGATCTATATACTGTCACAACGTGTCCTGTCGTTGGGCATGTTCTTTTGCATCATTTGATAAAAATAATACGAAGTCTAGTCTACACAACAATAACAAATTAATAATTTTTTCTCATTTTCTATAACGTTCCTACAGCCACATTCACTTATGAAGGCCCGGCACGGCCAGGTGGTTTGGGAACTCGACTCGCAATCTACGGGTCGCGGGTTCGAATCCCTGTCCCACCAAACGTACTCGCCCTTTCAGCCATTGGGGCATTATAATGTGATGGTCACTCTCACTATTCATTGGTAAAAGAGTAGCCCAAGAGTTGGCGGTGAGTGGTGATGACTAGCTGCCTTCTCCCTAGTCTTACACTGCTAATTTAGGGACAGCTAGCGCAGATAGCCCTCATGTAGCTTTGCGCAAAATTCCAAAAAGAAACAAACAATCACTTATGAATTGTAGGCTTAATTGCGCAAACAACGTTCAACATTAACTCCACAACTAAATGTGGACCTATCCTCAAATACAACATTTAAATATAAATGTCTAACTTAATAACTAAATTTGTTAGATAATTTAAAATGGCAAGCCTCTAAATGCAAGATGTAAATTAACATTCAATAGCTTCTGTAAAATTGCTTTCCATTTTTCATTTACACCTAGAATCTGTTTTTGAATCCCATTGTCTACTCCTTGTCATAATGGTGACTCTTCTAATCCCTGCTATTAGTGGAATTATGATTTATGGCATTTTTCTTCCTCGGGAAGTTTGTTGTATAGCTTGTTCCATTTTTCCACAAGTAATGATTAATCTTCATTTTTTGCCAGTATGCCTTGTTGTCTGCAATTTTTACCTAAAATAAAAACAAAAAAACACCAAAAGTCAGGAAGACTATGATCATTCACATCTTTTAGAATGGACTTCACAGTATTTAGCATTTCTTCATGCCTTAATACAATGAATAAAACAACTTTTGACATACTGAATCTGTATTGTTCTGTGCCTTTGTGCATCATTCTAGGATTTTTCTTTACCCTTGACTTTGTGCAGACAATTTGTTCCTGGTGGTGCTGACACTTTGCTATTTTTGCAGATCATGATGCTAGACCCAGAAGTACATTCTGCATGCTGCTTTTCTACAACTTGTATAAAAGAATCGATCCTCATCTACATGACTTGAGGTTGATGCTTAAGGAGACCATCAGCTCAATGGCCTTATCTTTTCAAAATTCTGGGTGATTGACAGGCATTTTTTAGCTCAATTCTTTTCATTCTACTTCTCCTTACATTTTTGGCACCCTCATTTGTATGTGTGTGCAGACATTTTCAATTATTATTAGTAGTGGTATATAGATAATGCTCATATCAGTCAAATTCTGCTCCTAGATTCTGAACTCCTTGCCATTTGGAGATTGTCACAGGCACTGTTATCTGGTAAAAGTAAGATGTATCTTAGAATCTTGAATATCTGAGGTAATTTATAAATTAAAAGTCCTATATTGTAAAAGAAGTAAAACAATGTATGAAAAACATTTAGTTGACATTTACTCGAAGTTCTTGCTTTTTTAACTGCCTTTTTCGTAATTAAAGGGTTTCAAGATCAAAGTTTTTGCTTTGTTTAACTGGCTAATCTATGTTTAATAGGTCTAGTGATTGAATTTCTTGCTTCTTTTAACTGGCTAATCCATGTTTGAAGGGTCTGTTGACCAAAGGTCTTGCTTCATTTAACTGGCTAATCCATGTTTGAAGGGTCTGTTGACCAAAGGTCTTGTTTCTTTTAACTGGTTATTTCATGTTTAATGGGTTTGGTGATCGAAGGTCTTGCTTCCTTTAACTGACTAATTCATGATTAATGGATCTATGGGATTGAAGTTCTCTCTCTTCTTTTAACTGACTATTTCATGTTTAACAGGTTTTCATCATAGGACTAGGGCAGCAGACCAGAAGCTCATCTCATGCAGAGACTTGCTTCTTTTACCTGGCTATCTCAGGTTTAATCAGTCTAATGATTGAAGTTCTTGTTTCTTTTAACTGGCTAATCTAGTTTAAAGGGTCTGTTGACCAAAGTTCTCATTTTTTTTAATTGTCTCTTTCATGTTTGAAGGGTTTAGTGGTCCCAGTTTTTGCTTCATTTAACTGACTAATTCATGATTAATGGATCTGTGTGATTGAAGTTTTCATTTCTTTTAACTGACTATTTCATGTTTAACAGGTCTTCATCATAGGACTAGGGCAGCAGACCAGAAGCTCATCTCATGCAGAGACATTTCTGTGGCAATGGGTAAGTTTTTCACTAGAAACAGCTTCAAAACTACAGTGTCTCCTTAATTGTTATTTAAAGGGTTCAAGCAAACAGTTAAAAGTACATATTTTTTTTAAATATTTTAGTTTTTTTAATACTGAAATCTTAGTATTTTTAAGAACTGCTTGTTTGTTTCCTAAATTTTGCAAAAAAGTTAATCGAGGGTTATCTGTGCCAGCCATCTCTAATTTACAAGTGATAGACTAGAGGGAAGGCAGTTAGTCAACAACACCCACCGCCAGTAGTTATTGGGATATTTGCATGGTGGAAGTTGTAATGCTGCCATGAATTTGCCAACAGAAATTGTATGCTACCAGAGGGTGCATTGATAGATGTCACGTAACATAGTTTGTGTGTTACTCAGCAGAGGACGAGTTGCCAGGAGCATATTGCTAGGGGAGGGTGACATAATAGTATGAGTGAGACTCATTAGAGGGAGCACATATAGAGACTATATTATAGTTCCACAAAATGGCATCAGAGGGGATGTGGCTATAATAAGTGTGCAGATAGTTTGTAAGCGAACCAACAGAGGGTGATGTAGATCAATGTGTCTCAACTTTAAAGTAACAATCAAAGTCGTACATTTAACATTTTATCTAATTTACATAATATTCTGTTTACAGTTGTCAGTACTGAAACGTTTTTACCACAATTACAGTTTTGCTTTATAAATAAATCATCAAATATGTTATTTCAATTATATCAACTTTATAATTTTTGCTTATATATTTAATTGCATACATCTTACAAAGGTAAATAATATTTCTATAAGCGGATGGTGTTACAAAGGTTCTATAGGTGGATGATGCTACTAAGGACAATGGTACCATAGTTCATAGGATAATCGAATAATCAGTAGTATTTTGCCTTATTTGCATAGCATACTTTTTACAAATATCCATGCTGAAAGGGACGGAATTTTCAAGATAACATCTCTAAATATTAGGTCGTCAAGAAATTAATTTTTATTATTTTACAAAAGCTGATAATGTTTCTATAGGAGACAGGTGTTACCAAAGTTCTATAGACAGATGGACTCCAATGGTGTTACTAAGGTTCTATAGGTGGAAAGTGTCACTATAGATGGATGCTGTTACCTGGCACATTGTATGTGTTTTGTAAATGTGGCTGGTGTTATTAGACTGATGGTCTTATTAAGGATAGTGCTGCTAGGGCAGATATTGTTTTTGTAAATGGAGTTGGATATCTTAAACAGTATTAGTGTGAGCTAGAAATCTGTGCAAGATAATCATTGCAGAAGTTTTGATTTATGCATAAAAAATAAGTTTGTTTATAAGTTATACTCTAAAACCACAAAGTTTTGTGCATAAAGTTCCAAACCAGCAAGGAACAAGCTCTAGACAAAGATTTGTGAAAATACTGACAGAAAGGCAGGAATAGAATAGTTAAACATAACTATTTACATAGATTTTTTTTTAAACTTTAACAGAAAAATAAATTTATCAAGTTAAACAAAATTATTGAATATTATTCAGATATTTATATAAGGATCCTTCTCAGGATGATAACTGTAACATGTGATGAAAGTTCGATACAGAAATAAAAATCATACTATAGTACATTAAATGTGTATCAAATCATAAAAACACA